GAAAATAGATAAATACAGAATCCCTAAAGAAAGCCCAACACGGCAAAATTGAAAATGTTGCAGGCTCGGTTTGATTGAGCCTGTTCATGGACGGTACTGGAAAGTGCAAGTTACCGTCCACGCCCCCCAGCACCGGCTTAAGCAGAATTCAACATTTAAACGTGAAATAGTAAAATTTTGAATTTAGAAACATCCGCAGATGTGTTCATACGGCGGTTATCATGGAACCTTCAATGTGACACTTCCGTGCCATTCCATGAAAAGCGGCGTATGGTCCCCAAGTAATAAAAAACGTGTGCCCTAAACGAGAAAACAATGGGCGGAACTAAATAAAATGGAATTTTGAAAGGGGATCAGAGGTTATGAAGCCTGCGTATCACAGAAGTCATGCTGTGCATATCGTTGGCATTTTTCGTTTCAATGATTTTGATCAGAGTAATGGCCCTTAAATAATTTTTATTTTTTGTTTAAAGTTTGTCCGGACTTCTACTTTACCACTACAGCAATTCAATGAAACTTTACAGGATTGATTTTTAGCTCGAGTACTTTCGCATATTTTACGGTTTTTTGGTTACTGCTTTTTTTTGGCGGAGTAATGAATCTTGAATAAAAAGAATGTTTTTGTGTGTTGCCAGATATACAGACTCTTGTCCGAACTACATTTTAGAAACTACTGACACTATTTCATTCTAACTTTATAGGAATGATCAGTACCAAGTCTAGTTGTGCATATCATCGGCTTTTTTTTGTTCAAGATTTTTCTCAGAGTTATAGCCCTTTCATTTTTTTCAACTTTAAACGTTTGTCTGGACTACTCCTCTTATACTTATGCAATTTCATTAAAATCTTATAGGGTTGATTGGTAGCTCTTCTACTTGCGAATATTACAAAGATCTTTAAGCTCGAATAATTTTTGAGTTAAGGCCCTTTAACAATAAAAATGTTGCTAATAAGGTTTGTCCGGAATACTCCTCTAGTACTACTACTGCAATTTCATTGAAACTTTGAAGGATTGATAAGTAACTCATGTTCTTGCGCATATAACACAGGTTGTCCACTTGAATGATTTTTTGGCAGTTATGGCCCTTCAATAAAGAGGCGGTTTTTTTCTGTTGCCAGCTACTTGTTTGGACTTCTCGTCAGAAACTAGTGCACTTTCATCAAAACTACAGGAATAATCAAATAGATAAATACAGAATCCCTAAAGAATGCCCAACACGACAAAATTGAAAATGTTGCACACTCGGTTTGATTAAGCCTGTTCATGGACGGTACTGGAAAGTGCAAGTTACCGTCCACGCCCCCTAGCACCGGCTTAAGCAGAATTCAACATTTAAACATGAAATAGTAAAATTTTGAATTTAGAAACATCCGCAGATGTGTTCATACGGCGGTTATCATGTAACCTTCAATGTGACACTTCCGTGTCAATCCATGAAAAGCGGCGTATGGTCCCCAAGTAATAAAAAGCGTGTGCCCTAAACAAGAAAACAATAGGCGGAACTAAATAAAATGTAATTTTGAAAGGGGATCAGAGGTTATGAAGCCTGCGTTTCACAGATAAGACGTCAAAAGACAAATTTAAAAAGCAGGGGACATATCCTAAGGGTGATTCAACATTATTCAAGTAGGAACATTGGAACCACCCAACAGGAATAATCAAAACCTTGTCTATGTTCATTTTTCAATTTTATGATTATTGTCAGAGTAATGTCACATTATGATATGAATTCCAAAAGGATGTCTTTGTCTTTATCACTACTGGTTTGGGAGATAAACTCGGTCGAATATCGCTGTTTTTGGGGCATATTTCATTTATTTGTTTTACGTTTTCTGGTGAATCTTGCACCATAATAAACTTAAGCTCTTCCATATTCCGGTATCAACATAAAAGTTATATTTAGAAACAAGACGGGTAATTTTGAGAGGCCCTGGAAAAAATACGTAAAAGCACATTTTTAACACGCGCAAATAGATAATTTCGGCTCTTTGTTTATCTTAAATCATTTTTAATGCGTTAATTAAAACGTAGAACTAGAGGATGCTTTTGTAAAAAAGCGCATGTCTCCCCCACTGCACTGTGACCTTGACCTTTGACCTACTGACCCCAAAAACAATAGGGATCATCTGCTCTATAAGACCAATCATCCTATGAAGTTTGAGGGCTGTAGGCCAAAAGGAACTCTAGTTATCATCCGGAAACGAGAAATTGACCAACGGTCACTGTGACCTTGACCTTTGAACTACTGACCCCAAAAACAATAGGGATCATCTGCTCAATAAGACCAATCATCCTATGAAGTTTGAGGTCTGTAGGTCTAAAGGAACTCTAGTTATCATCATCCGGAAACGAGAAATTGACCAACGGTCAGTGTGACCTTGACCTTTGACCTACTGACCCCAAAAACAATAGGGATCATCAGCTCTATAAGACCAATCATCCTATGAAGTTTGAGGGCTGTAGGTCAAAAGGAACTCTAGTTATCATCCGGAAACGAGAAATTGACCAACGGTCACTGTGACCTTGACCTTTGACCTACTGACCCCAAAAACAATAGGGATCATCTGCTCTATAAGACCAATCATCCTATGAAGTTTGAGGGCTGTAGGTCAAAAGGAACTTTAGTTATCATCCGGAAACGAGAAATTGACCAACGGTCACTGTGACCTTGACCTTTGAACTACTGACCCCAAAAACAATAGGGATCATCAGCTCTATAAGACCAATCATCCTATGAAGTTTGAGGGTTGTAGGTCAAAAGGAACTCTAGTTATCATCCGGAAACGAGAAATTGACCAACGGTCACTGTGACCTTGACCTTTGAACTACTGACCCCAAAAACAATAGGGATCATCTGCTCAATAAGACCAATCATCCTATGAAGTTTGAGGTATGTAGGTCTATAGGAACTCTAGTTATCATCATCCGGAAACGAGAAATTGACCAACGGTCAGTGTGACCTTGACCTTTGACCTACTGTCCCCAAAAACAATAGGGATCATCAGCTCTATAAGACCAATCATCCTATGAAGTTTGAGGGCTGTAGGTCAAAAGGAACTCTTGTTATCGTCCGGAAACGAAGAATGGACGGACGGACTGACGGACGGACGGACTGACGGACGGACGGACAGGGCAAAAACAATATGTCTCCCCCCGAGGTGGGGGAGACATAATAACATGTTTAGACATTTTATTATTCCTTTGCTATTCATATATGTCAAATAAAAAATATTTTTATCAGAAAAATAAGGACTGTTACTTTTATACAATGTCATGTAAAAAACCACCAAAGAACTCGGATACTTTTTTTTGTAAGAAGACATGCATTTTCATTTATTAAAATACGAATTATGAAGTTTTAGAATTAGTGATTCAAATGTATTTTGGCTTGGGTAGCTTCGTAATTTAACAGAGTGAAGAAGAAGTTAATTTAGTGATATTCAACCTACACAATAACACAATAAAGGAGCATTTAACATCAGTTTTTCAATCCATTGCACTAGAATATTACATTTGTGATTTTTTGTGCAATCGGACTTTTTCTAAGTTTGCAAGACAAAATTTAGTCTAAATTCATCTACAAAATGTATCCGTGAACATCGTCTGCTTTACCAGTAGTCGGTCAATGTATAAAAGTAACCCTGTACAAGCCTGAAAATGAGCATCTTCTGCGCATGTGTACAGCAATCGGATTTCCCGTACTATTTAAAGGCATGTTTTTTAAACAAACGGGTAAATGTCTGTGCTATTTTTTTAAATATCTTACCAAACTTGACCAAATTTCCAGATAGTGTCGAATTCCAGCGTTCGTACCAGATGGTGAGCTTGATAACATTAAAAAAGCCGATATGTCAATTAAATTATAAAGAGCCGAATTTATCAACCAGCCGAAGTTATCTCCCCAACCAGTAATGATTACTGTCTGTAATCATCATACAATGTACTTTTACCATGAACTTCAGAGATATAAATTTAAATGGTTGCAGGAATTTTGCGTTCATTCATACAAAGCCAACGAAATGGTCATCTGGGAGAGCACCGAACAAAGCTGACTTTTATTTTACTAGTGACCATACACTGCTTCGTTAAATGAAACATTAAAACGTGTTTACCATATCATTTTAACCATACCATCTTAACTTGTTTATGTTGTTTTGAAATGCTTTTTTTTCTGATTAGAGCTCCAGTTTGCACAAGGCAAGCCCTACATATCATGAATTGAAGTTTCAATTGTACTACTACGGAATGTTTTGTTTCAACTTGACTATATGATATTTGGAAAACATATTTAAATAGAGCTAAAATCAGCTGTTTTTTATAAAGAAAAACAAATAACGTTTTAAGAGGCAGATTGACCTTACCTTTATATCGGTGAAGCCAAATGAGAAATATAAAGTAGAATTCAAGCGATGGAAAACGAAAACAAAGGAAGCATTTAGATGTCCGATCTATGAAAGGGTCATTTCAAATTAATGAATACTAGACTTTATCTTCGTGAGTTCACCATTTTACTTCAAGAATTCAATTTGAAATCGTAAATTCTTGAAGTTGAAATGTCCCCACTGGACTTTTTTACCAAGCTTTTAATTCTTCTTGGATATTGTTGTAGTGATAAAATATCGCAAAACTTCGCAAAAGGTATTGTTGGAAAGCAGCAATCTCACGATGCAATATTGACCTTTTCTACATGAAAAGAAATTTTAATATGTCATTAAAAATAGCATCTATTGTAATTACTTTTTTACATAACTTACGAGAATGGCAAGTTTGTTCAGATAAATAAGGGAAGCATGTAGATGTCACATTTAAAGTTCGTTTTGTTTATAATAAAGTTGATATTGTTGTAGTGATAAAATACCGCTGCAATACTCATAAGGCATTGTTGGAAAGCAGCTATTGTACGATGTGATGTTGACTGTTACTACATGAAAAGAAATTTGAACATGTAATAGATGATAGCATCTATTATCGTTGCTTTTGAATTACATCTACGGGAATATTAAGAAAGTTCTTCATCCTCTAAATTCCTTTCCACAGCGTCAGTATTTTGCGTTGTATCTTGTAACTCTTTCCAAGAAAAACTTTCACCATTTTCTGCCATTGATATTTCGACTTTCACAATTCCATTCCAAACGCTATTTCTTGGTTGCATTTCAGGTGCCATCTTTTCAAAATCCTTTTCCGTAAGCGATTTATTTGTTCCGTCTTTAGCTAACATTGTTCGATAAAAAACTATCGGTTTCTTCATTTCGTCTTTCTCAATCTCTATTTCACGAGTAATAGATTTTTTATCTTTCAGCTCTGAACTTGCGAAAATCCTTGTAAAGTATGCATTGCAACCCTTATTTGTTATTTGAATTGAAGAAGATTTATTTTTTGATTCACATGGAGAAATTAATCCGTATATTTCATCCGCCGAACTGTTATCTTGCAATCCTAGCAATACAGTTCCTTTAAGAGTTCCTAATTCAGGTTCAGATACAAGAATACTTCGTATTTCTCCCACACCCTTTTCAATGATTTCTCTCACAATAGGCGATTTGGAATAACCACCGAGTAGAAGAACGTATTCAATTTCTTCCTCTACGTCCCCAATAATTCCTTTAACTGTAGAAATTAAACTTTTCAAAGACCTTTCAAAATAGTCTTTCATTTGTTCATGTGATATGACAATCTTGTTATCTGTAAAGGAAATAGACTCATCTAAATGATTGTCATTTCGTTTCATTAAATGTATGATTGAGGGTGGCATTTCTATAAGCACACATTCAGTGGTATTATTGAATTTGTGTTTTTCGTTATTAAAGACCCGACGTAAATTCATATAATCACAAAAGTGATCAACTATATATTTATTCCAATTCTCGCCAATGTTATATCTATCTATGATATCTTCAAAGAAAATGTCAGTCATAGAATCTCCGCCAGTTTCAATTTTAGGCTTTTTCAACAGTTCATATTCGTCAATAGATTTCATCCTTTGAAGGCAAACCGATGTTAATCTCCTGCCAAAATTGACAAAAATAAAACTGGTGCCGTTTTGCATCCTTCTGGTATTTCCTTCTCCGTCAACGACTAATTGCTGACTTGCACAATATGCTGCTGCTGCCTCTAAGTTACTGACAAAACGAACAATTTTGAAGCCTTTGATATCTTTTTTAAGGGAATGTTTTACTCGTTCACTTACATTATCAGGTACAGTAAGTAATAAATACTTTTCTAATTTCTCAAAACGCGCATAGCGTTTGACTTGACTCAAGCTTTTCTCAATCAAATGGTTAACAATTGTAGAATATATGTGTTCATCTTCAATCTCACTTCCTCTGCAATCCCTAATGATAAACTTGTCAGCACTTTGAGAGATTTCTAGATTGTTTACATACTTGTAGTTCAAATGCTCATTTTTCAGGGAAAGGGACATATATTTGTCTTCAGCATAAAATCCAAAGCTTTCGACAGACAAATCCTCCTTTAATAGTAAAGCAGTTGGAATTCGGCCTAGTTGACGATTAGTGTCATCTGTAGTAGTGTATATTTCAGAAGATTTATTGTTTTTTTCACTGAATGCAAATCCGGATTTTTCATTTCCTACTTCAATGGCTAACACTAGTAGTTTAGAATTGATACCACCCATTATCCGTTTGTAAATATAGATTTCGATTTTATTCCCAACCTACTGTTAAGTTTAACTTTATTAACTTTAAACAGATATATAGTTCCTCTATCTTTTGTCTTTAGGAGAAAATAATATTATGCCTTTGAAAACATTTGTCAGTACATTAACTATCGCGTAACTTCACGCAAATCTATCTTTCAATGCGACAAAAGAGCAGACGTTATCTAATACTAGGATCAATACGCGTTATGAATATCAACAAAAGACTCTTTGTATAGAAAAAGATATAAAAACAACTCTATATAGTAAGTATAAACTTCAATACATTTACTGGTGTATATATATTCTATATTTTCGTAGAGTTATTTTACATTGTTTAGTCATAGGTGGTTAGTGTGGCCATTTAAACTATGAATAACTTTATTCTGTACCTGTCAAGTCAGAGATGACCAGAGTGGGTAGTTTTATCACCATAATAACTATTTTACAAAAAAGGACCTGTTACATGTATATAAAAATTAATTTATACATATTTACTATAATTCTATGATTTTATCAAATAGAGTAGCACTTATTCAATAGTTATGAAATTTAAGTTCACTCAAGCAGTTAAGAAATTTTAAGTATTGTCACAGGAAAATATTCGTAGAAAAAAATATATCAAAAACACATATAATGTCTCTATCGTTCTTTCCACTTAACAGTTTATTTTGCCGTCTAACACACTATGTAAAATGTCACACGAAGTTATCAACTGCTCCGACCTTGAAAAAATCAATTTTCAATCTGAATTGGATATTCCTTTACGCCGACCATGTAAAGTCATAATTATAAAGTGTCACCTCCGACCTATAAGGTCAATATTTCAACAAGAAATGTCACCTCCGACAAACAAAGGTCAATGTAGAAACAGCAAAATAAAAGGTTACGATTCTGCGTAGATGCTACAATTAATGTTGGCCAACTCTCAGCATAATACAAATTCTGCATGATATTCAGTTGCTGGTACTTCCCATAGCACTACGCATACTCTTGACTTGATATGTTTTTCAACACAATGACCTATAAATGAAGACATTTTTCTTACTAGATATTTCACAAACATTGAGTATGAGTAAAACAGTCAAATGTATGAAAGGAAAATAAACCCATAATTACAATTTAACTTATTTAGTATTACAACTTTACTTTTATTAGATAAGATCCCATGTACAAAGGAATTTAATAAAAATCTACAATTTGCAAATAATTAAATATTTCACTTACCTTGATATCTAGGTAGACAGTCACTGTTAAATAAAGCTTATCATAAAAATGGCTTTATAAAATAAACACCAACTTTAGATAAGATATAGTATCATTACCCTTCATAAAACTGAGCAAAACTGAATATATGAACCTTAGTTAACAGTACTTTTAACACATTGGCCAGCTAACTTATTCATGTAAGTGATGACTCAGGTATGAAGACAACTATTTACACTGGTCAGTATTATAACTGTCTATCCGTTAAGAAGCAGGTTTATAAGAGATTATGTTAAAATAGATAAATTATATTTGATTTTGTGACAGTGCAACTTGGAAGTTCGATTTTGTCTGAACACTGTTTAAAATATTTAAGAAATATAGTTTGTTTTCATTTAAAAATGGGATCAAAGTCAGTTATATTTGTTGCAATTGATCTTGAAACGACATAGATTTTTGTATACTTTCAGTTCAGATCCGGACACAATCGTTACAGCTAGTTTTGGAATAATGTTACCAGATGATCTTGTGGCGACAGAACTTCTCGTTAGACCGGCTAAGTCGCTGTAATCCTTTGGAAATGATGCCGAGGATAACTATTCAAAACTTATGCTTTCGGGTAAACATGACGAATATCAACTATTTCGTGAATTCAAAATGGCACTTTATGATTAGACCCAGATACATGTATAGATGACACTAAAAACAGACCGATGAATGCGATTAACCTGTTTGCAATGTTAATTAAACACTTTAAAAAAACAGTTTTTAAATCAATTAAGCAATACCTTCAATTTGGTCGGACTCCGCTCGGCAGTTCATGCGAGAAGCAGCTATTTTAGCTGAGATTGATGAAAAATGTTTGAAACTTGTCCTTGAACCGGAGAAGCAGCTTTGTTCTGTCGAGAACCATGCTGCTTTTATTATTATTATCATAATTATTATTATTATTATTATTATAACATTATCATCATGTTTCGCGCAATTTTTTTGTTGACGTCAACGTCACTTCATGTATACAAAACATAGTGTTAATTGTGATTTATAAAAATACACCGAAACTCCTTGATAAAGAGCTGTTTATCCCCTCGAATTGTTGGAGGATAAAACTTTTTGAAGTTGATAATTATTATTTAAATGTTTCCAGAATGATTTCAAAATAAGGTTATTCTATTTAAAATTAAAATAACGGAGAATGTTTAAAAGCTATTTAAAAAAGTAGTAATTTTCATGCATTGAAAGGTTTCTTGACGATGAAATGGATATTTTCTCGGCCACACGGAGATATATACATGTACATGTTTGTACATTTATATTTTTTTAACTTACGTAAAAAATGTATTTATGTCTCCTTTGACTTTTTTCTGGTTATTTTTTTTTATTGGGATAACTTCGAACGAACACAGTAATATGGCGACTTTTCAGCTTAACTCGTAGAGGAAAGCCCCAGGTGCTCCTCTGTGCACTGTTTCGGATACAAATGGGTACCTGGGTTCAGACATCAACGTTCTGTAAGCAAGCTTAAACGTTTCTCACATTATATGATACCGCAAAAAAATACGTTCCAAACAGACTTTCATTTCAGAAAATTAAATCAATGTTAAGTTTAATTTAGTCAAAATAAGTCAAGTGTAGTTTCGTCAAAAATGTATGTAATTAAAACGCTTATGGTAGGTATTGTTAGAAATTTGATTTAGAATTCAATGATTTATATATATATATATTATATATATATATATATATATATATATATATATATATATATATATATATATATATATATCGTAAAGTAACACTACACATTAGATTAAAGCGCTGAAGTCACTAAGTACGACGGACAGGAATGCTTAACTGATCTACGGATTGTGGGTAGCACATTTACTCCAATCATTTACTTATTTATACATACCCGTAAGACATTTTGGTCATTTTGAAAAAATCGTATTTGAAAGTTTAAACTGCATAAACCGCACAAAAAGTAAAATTTTCTGGGAATTAAGGAACATGTATAGTATATATATCTTCT